TGTCTTCTCAATTCTCTCCTGAGGACATTGTCTTCCTCTCCAAATTCTCCTCTTTCCTCTTTAAAGTCAAGGCTTTCAATCTTCTTCATCAAGTCTCCCTTTCATTCTTCTGTCCTCCCGAACTCCATCAAATTCCACTCCTTGATTCTTGCTTTCAAGAATTGTGGTTTCTTATGGAATCTCATCCCCTCCCACTCCACCGACGGGCTACACTCATGCCACCACTCCCTCACTTTGTTAGGAAACCCTGAATGAAGTAACCACATATTTTCAAATCTAAAGGGGGTAGGACCTCCACRCCTTCTTTCCTCCWTRCATAACACTATGGRMCAGTGATCCRDGGTCACCCTTGGGAGAGCTCTAGCATCCAAGGTTCCCCAATGTTCTTCCCAATCCAAAGAGAAAATTTGATGTTACTGATAGTATATATATATATATGAGAGAGAGAGAGAGAATCAGTTGCAAGGTCCTATTGAGTGCCCAAGTGAACAACAGTGCTTATGGACTTMAGCTAGAGGCATGCGTACCTAAAACTTAGGCTTTTACCCAAATGATAAGACAGAGTTTTGAAAGAGGTAGGGGCCCAATCGCCCAAGAGGGTTTCCAGAGTTCATGTTGTCATGGGAGATGGTGGGTATTTCTTTATCATGGGCTCGCTTTAAATAGACCAACAACCAGCAGGTGTCTATTCTGGAGAAATTGGACAGTATTGTTGCATCAGTAGAATAAATAAAGTGCTTCCCAAATTTGGTGCAAGTAGCATGCCAAGACCTTTATTTGATCACTCACCAATTCTTTTGTGGACTGTGGAGGATGAACACTTAAAAATCTACCTTTTTCTTTGAGAACTCGTTGCTATTGGAAGAAAGGTTTGTTGGAGAGAATGGAACAATGTTGGCATCGTGGCAAGAGTTGGCCAATCTAGTGATTTAAAAGGCATGCCTCAGGCACGCCTAGGCACATAGGGAGGTGCATTGTATACGTCTCGCCTAGGTCCCAGGCGGAGTATTTTCAAAAGGTGCACCTGGTGTGCCTTGCACTCCAGCCCAGACATGCGTCTTTTGAAGATTTGTGCATTTTTTCTCTTTTTTTTGTGTGTTTAGTAGCTGGCTTAGGGGCTCTGCCACCAGACCCCCAACGAACCCAAACAAGTATATATTATGGTCTTAAATTCTTAATCCCAATGAAAAAAAAAAGATTTTATAACTTTAAATGTCTTTTATAAATATCTTTTATTAAGATGAATGAATGAACACTTGCAAATATGGGGCTTTCAAAGTTACAATGAGCGAACAAAGTGTGCGAAGAAAAGATATTTTTAAAAGATACTTAAAGTTATAAAACTTTTTTATAACTATTTTCAAAAGTTGTGCACCTGTTTGGGCTTGCCTCGAGGGGCTTGGTACAAAGGTGGCTCATAGAATCAAGAATGCATAATGATAAACTATTTGAAATAACGAAATTGGGAAAACAAATAAAGAAATGAAGAGCTTATATGCTTGAATATGCTTTTTATGTTATGCTTGATTTTATTTTTAAATTTTTATTTTAAATATGTTTTACATGTTATGTACTTATGTTTATATATTTCAATTTGAGATAATAGGTTTTTTTAAATAGTTTATTCTAAAATTTAAGTTTATATTTTCAATTAATAATGTGTTCAATATTTTAATAATTTGTATTTTTTTAATTTTTTATATTTTTTTGTTCATTTTTGCACCTTGCTTCAAAAAGGTGCGTGCCTCGAGCGCAAAATGTCCCTTGTGCTTTCTTTTCTTTTCTTTTTTTTTTTTTTGCATTTTTCGCTTTTAAAACACTGGGCCAGTCAAGTTTTTGGGAAGAAACCCTTGGTTCTAAAATTAATATTGAAACAATGGAGCAGGAACTCATGTAGAGGCTGAGTAAGGTGTACTATCCATAGAGAACAGGCAGAGATTGAAGTATAGTGGAGATAGAAAGCAATGCTGGAATTTGATCATTTTGTTTATCGAGATGAAGTATAGTGGAGGCAGAGATTGAGGTGTATAAACCAATGACAAAAAAGAGAAAGTAGAAGAGAGGAAGAATTAAAGGGAAGGGAGAATCAAAAGTTTGGACCTGAAAAAACTTGGGTAAGCAGTGCCCTTATTAATATTTTAGGGTGACATCACTAAACCATAAAATAAAGTAAAAAGACATTTCTGCCCCTCTGGCAAGTTAACTCTATATTATGACACTCCCCCTCAAGTTTGGCTATAGATGTCAATCATACTCAACTTGTTACGTATTTCACTATGCTGCAGAGCATTTAACCCTTTTGTGAAAAACATCGGCAACTCGATCTTGCAGCAACTCCCTGCTTCTTACTCCCCCAAGTACCAAGTAACAAGATAACCTCCTATAAAGGTGTAGTAAGCACTTGTTGTCCTTCTGTCATCAATTGAGCTTGCTTGGTCAAAAATCTGTGTAGACCTCAACTCTCAAATGGTCATGTTTAGCAAACAAACCTTTACTAGGATATGTTTTCAAGTACCTAAGAACCCTTTCTATTGCTGCAAGGTGTCATGTTTTGGGGGCATGCATATTAGCTGAGAACTCCAATAGCATAGTCAGTATCTGGACAGGTCATGGACATATATAAAAACCTCACAATCAGCCTCTGGAATTGTTTCACATTATCTTATATACAAGTGCCTCTCTCTCTCTCTCTCATCACTTTCAAGCTTGTGATTTTGCTCTGTCGAAGTATAAGCTGGTTGGTCCCCAGCTTTCCAGTATCCTGCAGAAGATCAAGAATATACTTTCCTCTGAAACATGAAATTGCCCCTTTTGAGTGGGCCACTTCAATTCCAAGGAAATACCAGAGAGGACCCAAGTCCTTCACTTCAAAGTTGGAGCATAATAACTCTTTCAATCTCCTAATCCCAATTACCAGTGACAACAATGTCATCTACATGAGGGTGGGCCTTGATGCAACGATTGGGTTGCTCCATTTCGACTAGGTGACCAGGGTTCAAATCTTGGGAACAGCCCCTCTGTATGTTCAAGGGTAAGGCTGCATACATCTCTCTCATGCACTTGGCTGCCCTTTAATAATGTCATCTACATACATAATGAGAAAAACAATTTATCTTTCCCTCTTTACAAACATGGTGGTGTATCTGATTGACACTGTTTGAATGTTATTGTAACTCTCTTAGTGCTGCAAGGGTTACTACTGTAATAGGCTCATAGGTTTTGCCTCCAGAGGTATCAATAGGCCCACCTATATTTTTTTGGTGATCCAAATTTATTTTCTTCCTCTCTTGTTTCTTCTCTTCTCACTTTTCTTCTCTCTTTCTTTTGAGTTGCGGGAAAACATGGTATCAAGGCTATTAAGAGAATAAAAGCCTATTCAAGGACCTCACCTAACAGCTTAAGCTTTTAGGTTAAATGGTTGCTTGAGATGGTATATTTGATCAAGTGGTCTTGTGTTCAATCCTCGTTGTCCTCATTTGTATTTAATTAAATTTCAGTACTAGGTATGGGTGGGCCTATTGATACCTCTGGAGGCAAAACCTATGATCTTATCACTACTGATGTTTCTATTAAGTTTCAGTACATCATCAGATTCTTTGGAGGAAAAACCTACCCAGCCAGGTATCATCATTCCTATTGGTACCTCTGAGCCTATCACTATTGATGGTTCTATAAATGACCTTGACATTCTTGTCTTATGGTCTTGTTTTTCCATCCTTCCGTGCTTCTTTGTCTACCTCTGATAGTGTCTCCGTCCCCAAGAGTTTTGCAAAGGCTCTAACTATCCTTGAGTGGACAGACACAATGTAAGAGATTAATGCCCTACACAAGAACCATACATGGGAGTTGGTGGATCTTCATGAGGGAAAAGAGTCAGTGAGGTGCAAATGGTGTTCCCTATGAAACACAAAGCAGATGGAACAGTGGGAATGTTATAAAGCTAGGTTAGTGGCAAAGGGGTATACGCTGGTGTACAGGTTGACTATGCTGAAACATTTATTCCAGTAGCCAAGATGAACTCTATCAGGATCTTATTATCCTTGACAGAAAATTTTGATTGGGAATTGTACCGATTAGATATAAAAAAAAATGCTTCTTTGAATGGTACTTGGAAGAAGTCTACATGCTTCTTCTGAGCTAAGGGTTGTGAAAACAAGGTGTGTAAACTGAAGAAGTCTTTATATGGGTTAAAACAATCACCCAGAGCCTGGTTCGTCAGATTCCACTTGCATCTTTCCATGGCATGACTCTACTGCTGATTTTAAAGGGTTCATTTTGTTACATTCATGAATTAATCCATTATATTTCCTATATTGTATAAGGTGGATGCCCTTAAGGCGCCTCAAGGTATGAGGCACATGTGCCTTTTACTTTCAGGCATGCCTCAAAAGATCTTTAAGCTTTGCCTCAAGCAAAGCTTCAAGAAGTAACTATCATATGCCTTTGAAGGCCCTGGTAAATTTGCTTTGAGCTTTTTTATGGACAAATATTTACCTTTACTTTCAGGTCAACTATGATATCATGTGTATTGTACTGTTTGATAAACATTGCATGTTGGATTTCACATTCTGATATTGTTCTTTATTAACTTTTTATTGCAGTGAGGGTAAAAGGAGGAAGTGGGTTTTTCCTACCCTTGTTGAGTTCCCTAAGAGTAAGGTATTATTCATGTCTACCTATAATTGACTTATAATTGTCAATAATTGGGGAAAAAGCAATGTAGCTTGTAATGCTTAGTATTGGGACAATATAGAATATGCCTCACAGGAATAATATGCTGCTTTGGTTTCCTGCTAAGTACCCATATTTACATTTCCTGGAATTTTAAATCCAATTGCCACTTGACTCGTGTAGCAAACTGTTTCCATGGATAATATTACATAAAAATGTGGGACTTTCCTGCACAAGATAATGTTTGTGTGCAAATGTCTGGAGTATTTAAAATTTAGTTTAGTTCCAGAGAATTTTCTGTTTTTTATGTATTATTTATTCCATAGTATTAAAAAAAATGCCCTTTATGATACTTGATCATGTTGCATGCTGAGGTTTCATAGTTCAGCCTTATGATTCAGCTGAATTAAGCTTGAGAGCTCAGACAGGACCAAAGTTAAAATGCTTGACCTTTTTCCCCTTGTTAAGCCATAAAAATTGTATGAAGAGCATATTAGAGTATGATGCAGGTAAAGTCCTAGGAGAACCTGTCATAAAGGAGGGGGTGGGATGATACCATAGGGCCCTATAGAAGATCCACAAAATGATCTCCATTCAATTAAGTTAGAAGCTAAAAAAGACCATTAGCAGTGAAATGAATCCTAAAAACATCCATTTAATGTTCATCTTTAGCATGACAATCTGCAATCTGTTTAGGTAATCTCAGAAAAACAAGTGGTTCAATCTGGATATTAGAGGTTTTGCCTCTCTAATCTGATAGCAAGAGTGGTTCTTCATCCATCCAATCACATGTGAATTTCCTTCAATGATAGCCCTCCCAAATCTCATGGGATCACCATTTCAACTGGCCTCCAGTAATTCCCGATACTTGATGACTCCCCAAGCAGCAACCATCAAGGTTCAACTTAATGGATCAGTCAAGAAGCACCAAAAGCTCCATTTTTATGAGGTCTAGATGGGGAGAGATTTGGCAAACATAAGCCACCAACTGATCATTGATCATCCATAGCCTCCACAACTATCCCTTGCCCGTACTTGACATATTATTCCGATGTTTACTAGTCAGACCAATAATTGTTGGTTTAGAAATGATCTTTGTAAGTTGTGACCATGGTTTGTAATATCGCTGATATATTGGAGAATAGCTAGGGGTGATATGAAACTATCCTGGAATCGTTTTTCCCTCATATTACCGACATAATTTGATCTAATATTTTTTTCTTAAAACTAAAAGGAAAAAAAACAAAAATAAATTGCAAAGAGGAGCTAAATAAGAAACATGCCAGTGATGCCACATGCGTACAGAAAGGAATAGATCATAAAATGATTATAAGAGAGAGAAAAAAAGAAGAGACTAAGAGAGAAGAAGACAGAGGGGGGGAAAAAGGATTGCAGATTGCAGATTTACCTGTCAATCAAGTGACTCAAAAATGGAGTTTTGTCTCTGATATATTCTTATTCGTATTAAAGTTGAAAATGCATGAGAAAAAGAGTGTTCAAGCCTTGATTATCTGGCTAGCCCCATCCATCAGATTTGTGGGCTCCAAAACCCTACTTGATGTGATTTGTGAGCTCTAGAAGGCGGAAGCACTATATTGTGCAAGCTTTGATTCTCCTTTTGGCTTATTCCTTGCTTCTTTAGAAAGGAATAGGTCATAAAATGATTAAAAGAGAGAAAATCAGAAAAAAAAAGAGAAAAGAAAGAAGAGATTAAGAGAGAGAAGAAGACAAAGGTAAAAAAGGCTTGCAGAGATCAGTCAAGAGACTCAATAATGGAGTTTTTGTCTTTGATATATTTTTACTCGTATTAAAGTTGAAAACGCATGAAAAAAATAGTGTTCAAGCCTTGATATGATTTGGGAGCTCTGGAAGGTGGAAGCATCATTGTATGCAAGCTTTGATTCTCCTTTTGGCTTTATTCCTTGCTTCTTCACATCCAAAAATCTTAAAATATCTTGATTGTAAGCTCACTGTTGAATCTCAAAAGAGAGGAGCGAAACCAAAGAGTTTTTCCCCTTCTCTACAAGTTCATAAGGTTTAAGTTATAAATTTATAAATTGCAAGAAATCTTTATATTTTTTTAAATAATGATTAAGTCCCTATTTAATTATTAATAGCCCCTAAAAATTACACAAAAGTCCTTCATAAATTGTTATTCATAGTAGTCTTTGGTAATTATTAATAAGTCCTTATTTATTTTCTAATAAGTCATTTTCTTTGGTTAATTATTAATATGCTATTTACAATTAAACCCTTCTATAAGATGTTATAAAAAAATCCTTCTATAAATGTGACTATGTGAGGCAGCTCTTATGTAACCAAACATTAATAAAAATTCCAAATCAGTGATCTACACATTACCTTACATGATATATATGCATAAATCATAATAGACAATGACTAAAATACTTATATATAATAAATTAGTAAAAATGTATAATACATAATTATAATATAATACAAAGCACAATTAACGTATTTCATGTTTTTATCAATTTTTAAAATTTCCAAATATCTTAGCAAAATTAATGAAATATCTTCACTATTTCTCTATTTCCTAATAGCAAAATGTTTGTTGATATCAAAATTGTGAACCTTGGTTTTGACCAATATCTAGAGAATATGGGTCTATGACAAGATTCTTTGTTTTGGGGTATTTTGTTAATTTGTTTGTTCGTAGGATTTTTCTCAAGTTATTTTTTATCAATGACTGGAATTTAGGGGTATCCTTTCTCGCTTGGACCGAAAATGTTTATATGTATGTATTGTATATATTATATACATATAAATATTATAATATGACACATTTGATACATATTATATATAATATTTTATACTATATAAAGTATAACAATAAAATGTATACATATTATAGCCCTTATAAGAGGTGCTAAGCCTGGCCCATCCTGTCCATGATCACCCCTACTTGAAGTGCTTCTTTAGATCTAAATTGGCTGTTTTGATTTTATTTTCTTATAAATAGATATTATTAGACTTGTTCATGAGTTGGGTTCGGGCCGGGCTTTGTCTATGTATCAATAGAATACATTCAGGCCCGAGCCTGAGCCCTACCAGAAATTTGAAAACATATTTTTTTTTCCTTTTTTATTCAATAAAAAGTGTTTCATTTATATTAAAAGCYCTCAAAACTCAAAAATAATAAAATCTTTCACTATTACTTGAAAAAAAGACAAGAGAAACAAAGAAAAAAATATTGTATATATACTTTTTATTAAATAAAATATATTTTTTATTATATAATATATATTATCAAGTCGGGCTTGGGCTTGGACTATGCTTTTTTGTGAAAGCTTGAGCCCAGCTCGAAAAAAGGTCTGGCCCGGTGTTTTAGGCCCAAGCCCGAGCTCGTGGGCTTAAAATAATGTCCAAACCCGACTTTGGGCCAGGCCGACCCATCGGGCTACCCGGCCCATGAACAGGTCTAGATATTATTCGAGCACTGGAATAAGGTCTATTATTTATGAATGAAAGTGTTGCTTTTTGGCTTTTAGTTCCATTGAAAACTCTAGGGTTTGCTTGGATTAACATCTTTCATGACGGTTTTACCTTTTGTTTTTCCTATAAGAAATCAAAGCTTCAATAGTGGTTATGTACTTGTGTATTTTAGCATCCAACTTCAAGCTTCATAGCAGATGTTGGGTTTTTCCTCGATGTTGGTTTTCAAGCCCTCAGTAGAATAAGACTTACCTGGGTTGTTTAAAGGGTAGAAACGATCTTATGATATTTGATACAATTCACAGTTAAATTTGATTCCCTTGTACAATTTATTATTTGATTAGAATTTCAGAAAACTTGTTGTATTCCTAATAAGCTTTTTATTTATAAAAAGGAAGACATTGGCCTAGTTGTAGGAATTTTATGTTGAATAGAAGAAGTTCCAAGTTCCAATATTATRTAATTTTCCTATTTTATATGTTATGATTGTGAGTGCTTGTCAACTTGAACCAATTCCATAGCCAACCTTTTTGGAGTTGAAATGGTTTTGGTTGGTCAACTTGGGTTAACTTTGATTTGTCTTGGGTTATGGTCAATTATTTAGGTTTTATGTTTGGGCTTCAATTACCCTGAAATCAACCAACCTCTGATCTAGTTGCAACAAAACACCTTGCTACATGTATTGTATTCTGCTGTTGTGGCAATACATATTAGTAAGAAACTCTTATATCTTGCTGGAATCCCAGACCTAGTAGTAAGAACTCTTATATGTTATGGGTAATTGGGATATCTCTCTCCCTTTCCTAAAATGCTGGAATCTTGGATATCTGACATAATATGCTTACATTATTTGTCTATATCTAGTTTTTGAAGCTAAATGTCATTTTTCAAGACTTATGTCTTGATGAATTTAATTAAATTTCTAACATGTGCAGATCTTTTTATAGTATGATTTGTTAACACATACCATCTTATATATTTTGAAAGTGCAATGCTATAAAGTACATCTTGAAGTATCCATGTAGTATCCAGAATTGTATCCAAGGCATGTATAGGTATCTGGGTATCATAGGTACTTGCTAAGCTAATAGGATATATTCTTTTAAGTGAGTCTAATGCATTTTTGGGGTACATGTTTCAAAAGTAGAATTTTGGTTTGGGCTATATGCAAGTACATAGGGTTATGGGGTACTTATTTTGTTTTTTTGTTTTTTTTTTTTTTGTAGTTGAAGGCCTTTATGATGGATATTGCCTATCATTCTCATGTTACTGTTAATAGTGGATGTGTTTTTGTCATATTAGTTACCTCATGTATGAGGCTAGGACTGTAATGATTGGCTGATATAGACTGTATTATTATGATAGGCTGATATGAAGCTGAATGCAGGATAGAATATCATCACATGGGGCAAACAAAATGCAGATATTTGGTTTATCACCTTATTGGTTTGATATAGCACAAGGCAATGCAATACATAATACAGTTGACATGCAATCATTGTTTCTTTTGACCGGGCCAAATGGGGGTGGTAAATCTAGTTTGCTTCGATCAATTTGTGCAGCTGCATTACTTGGAATATGTGGATTGACGGTGCCTGCAGAGTCGGCACTTATTCCACATTTTGACTCTATTATGCTTCACATGAAATCTTATGATAGCCCTGCTGATGGAAAAAGCTCCTTTCAGGTATACTTTTATATTGTGATATATGATTCACTTGTTTATGCTTTCTGCAATGTCTTGCCATTTGGAAGGTTTGTTTTCATAAGTTTACTGCTCTGAATCATGTTTACACATATTCATTTTGTGCTACTTGCCATATATTTTATATACCATTTAAATAACACCAAGTACCATATGGTAGATAGGTTTAGAAATGAGCACATTCATGGGAATAAAGATGATTTGGCCGTATGTCTAGAGGATCATACTCCCCAACCCTGATCCCGACCTTCAAACAAATCCCCATCCCCAACCCCAATTTCTGCCAGGGATAAAAATAACCCTCCATCCCTGACCCTTGATGTTGATGATGATGGGTTCCCTGTTGAAGACCCAAATCCCCGAAATTTTAAATTAAGTTTTTTTAGAAAATAGATTTACTTAAAATAAGGGAAGTGTGTGTAATCGGGGTTGAGGCGGGTGGGGAATTCATTCCCTGTCCCTGTCCCAGTTGGGTATCACCATCAATCTCCATCCCCTACCCCATCAGGTTAGGGAAACTTGGTACCCGGTGGGGACTGGGAAAACCCTAAATGGAGTGGGATTTTGGTAGCAAGAAACAGTTGAGGGCCTACAAATTTTGTATCTGATCCATCTCATGTAGTTGCAGTATGGCTTTCTGACTGGAATTGGGATGTACAGATACCATATATTATAATATAACACTACACACAATAAGTAAACTCCCTGCAAGAAAAGTGTAGAGAGGACTGAGTAAAGCAACCAGCAACAGGTGTCTGTTGTCTTTTCTGCCCTCCTACAAGGTTTCAAGATGTATTTGTCTTGGATTTGTTTTTGAATGTAAAAAAAGTAAAAAAAAAGAATCACAGATTTAGATAAGCAACTGGAGATGCTAAATCACAAAAAAGGACTAAACCATACTAATGCAAGCTCAATGAACTGAAGAAGTTGCCTCTTGGAGCAACTTTGTCTGAGAAAAGATCTTTTTTTATGCTCACAGATTTAGGCATTATATTCTAAACATACTAGATTTTGTCATTTATGGGCATGGGTTGAAGTGGTAAGAAATGATTTAAGTGGTCATAATTTAGCAATGGATACCAGTGAACAGATGGAATTGGCAAAACAGTATTCATGTAACTGACCCTATATAGTTGGGACAAGGCTTAGATGATGATGACGATGAGTGGATGTTTCTCGTTTTAACAAACTTTGGTGTGTGTGTATTTGTATTGCAAAAATCTTATCTGTTATCAAGAGTATATTCAATTATTGTAAACCTTGCATGTATCAAGAGTATATTCTTTTCATTTTTGCCTTCAAATTTCCGAACGCTATTTGTTATCCAACTTCTAACAATAATTTAAATTGCAGATTGAAATGTCAGAGATTCGTTCCATAATAGCTGGGGCCACTGCAAGGAGCCTTGTTCTTGTTGATGAAATATGTAGGGGTACAGAAACAGCAAAAGGAACATGTATTGCTGGTAGCATTGTTGAGACACTTGATAACATTAGTTGCCTTGGTGTTGTTTCTACCCACTTGCATGGGATTTTTGATCTACCACTAAACACAAAGAACATTGTATATAAAGCCATGGGATCAGAGAACTTAAATGGTCATACACGGCCAACATGGAAATTGATAGATGGAATCTGTAGAGAAAGTCTTGCCTTTGAAACAGCCCAAGGGGAAGGCATCCCTGAAACAGTAATCCATAGAGCAAAAGAACTGTATCTTTCATTAAATGAAAAGGAGGATGCATCTTCAGGAAAAAGTGATGCAAAAGTGGAACATCTTAGTTCAGATTCTGATGAAGTCGAAGAGCAATTGCATAGGGTTAAGATAGGAGCTATTGGTATGAGGATGAAGGCATTGAATTCTGTAGAGATTCTACGAAAGGAAATAGCAAGTGCTGTTACCATAATCTGTCAGAAGAAACTGATAGAGTTATACAAACAGAGAAATATTTCAGAACTTACTGAGGTCAATTGTGTCATTATCTCTTCTAGGGAACAACCACCTCCATCAACTATAGGTGCTTCAAGTGTCTATGTGCTTCTGAGACCTGACAAGAAATTATATGTTGGACAGGTACTCATCAAAATTTGCTACCTTGCCCTATCTATTTCGTGTTCTCTCTAGTATGAATGCATCTCTCGTTGTGAATTAGTGAAATTTAGAATTTAATTGATTTTCTTCCAACAGACGGATGACCTTGAGGGTAGAGTCCGTGCTCACCGTTCAAAGGAAGGGATGCAGAATGCTTCGTTCCTTTATGTTATAGTCCCAGGAAAGAGCATAGCTAGCCAACTGGAAACTCTATTAATTAACCAGCTTCCTCATCAAGGCTTTCGGCTCACAAACATTGCAGATGGAAAGCATCGTAACTTTGGCACATCCAGTCTCTCCTTAGAAAGTGTCGTCTTGTAATAAAGAACCTGTAGCAGTTGACCCTTAATTGAGCTTATGTGAAACCATGTTGAGCTGATCGGAGATGGGAGAGCCTCTTTTTCTCCTGTTCTTTTTGTCAATTTTATAATTTGTTGTATGGAAAAATTAAAGTGGTTAGGCCGTTGAATAAAATGTGGCTGCAGCAATTTTGGGTCTTTTGATGGCTGCTCCACTCTTCGGCATTCCCCCAGAAATGTGATGCAATTTCTGTTCAAAGTGTGTTTATCAGATGCAGCATTTATGATCAGATGAAGCATTTACACCTATATGCTAACATGTCTAGTATTGTATTTTTGGAAGCCCACATGTTTAGTATTGTTTACAAATGGCTCAACTAAAATATTTAATTATAGCCCCCTCCCCCCTGATCTTTTTCTAATTACAATGTGATAGCTTAAGATGACGAATTATTAGTTTACTTTGAGTATGCCTTTAATCCTTATTATAGCATGCCTTTTTTCTTTGTTTATTGTTTCCGTTTGATTCGAGATTTCAATCCCTATGACAGATGAGTTTGAGCAGAATTGCTACAAATAGAGACCAGATTGGTTGGAGACGATCATACACAGTGGGCTGGGCAACCTTTCATGAGTGAACATGCCAGTGTTCCATATGCACAAGGTGTGGGTTCCACATGGGTTCCATGTTTATGGAACACTGGGGTGTTCACTAGTGACAAGTTGCCCAGCCCATTGTGTATGATTTTGTCTCTGGCCAATCCAGATCTCAAAGAATGGATTATTGACATTCACTCTTGATTGATTATGTGAATCATTACACTTTTGGAGTCTAGATTTTCTGAAATAAAACACAAGTTACATTGTTACCAGCAACACCATCGTATGCCATATGTGCTTGGCAAATGTATCAATTCGCACTTTGTGAAAAGACCTGTTCATGGGCTGGGTGGCCTGACGGGCCGGCCCGGCCTGGCCTGGCCCCCTAACGGGCTTGAACACGTAAATGAACCAATGGGCTTGACTTCGGGCCAAAAAGCTTGGCCTGTAATAAATTCAAGCTGGGCTTGGGGTTTGCCAAAATAGCTCGGCCCGGCCCGACCTATATATTAAACCCAAAAACCCTAATATCCAAAGTAACCCTTCTCATTCATCTCTTTCCACTTTTCTAGTTAGTCGAATTGCCCAATGTCGAACCTCTCAGGTAGCTGCAAAACCGGTGAACATTCACTGATGCAACAACTCCGGGAGACCGGCAGTGAGTCCTCTCTCTCTCTCTCTCTCTCTCTCTCTCTCTCTCTCTCTCTCTCTTGTTCCTTTTCTCATTTCTTCTCTTTCAAATCTCAAACATCAGCGAGGTGACGAACATAGGCATCGGCAGCGGCGGTGAGTCCCCTCTCTCCCTCTTTCTCTCTCTCATAAGCAAATTGACTTCACTTTTCATTGTCAAAATCTTAGCTCACCGGCGAACACAGCCATCGGTGGTGAGTCCTCTGTTAGGTCGAGCTTCGGGCTTTTTATCAGGGTCGGGCTTTGGCCCAAGATGTAGGCCCGTTGGTCGAGTCGGGCTTAGGCTTGGGCCTAACAAAATCTTGTTTATGAAGAGCGAAAATCCAGCCCGAGCTCGGCCCGGCCCGACCCATGAACAGGTCTATTCGTGAATAAACATGTTAAGGGTTGGCTTTTGCCTCTTTATAAACAAAAATTGACCAGGCTTGAGACCAACCCTATATAAAGCCTAAAATCCAGCCCCAAGATCGAAGTCTAATTTGAACAGAAGTTTTATAATATATTAATTATACATTATTAGTAATATATTATATAGGGTAAAGTATAGAAACCTCCCATGAAGTTTCTGACAATCATAAAAACCTCCCCTGAAGTTTCTAACAATCATAAAAACCTCCCCTATAGTTTTACTTTAGCAAAAACCTCCCTTAAGTTTTTAAAGATCTCGACAAAAACCTCCCTTCCGTCACTCATTCAGACAGAAAACCAATAAAATTATAAAACTGCCCCTAATTAATTGTCAGAGTCAACAAAATATTTTAAAATGGTAGAATTGCCCCTACTTCCCCTTCCTCTCACAATAGAAGCCTAGAAGGGAACATCATGAAATACTTCCCCTGATCTCCCCTCACTGGTTTTTCTCATTGATTTCTTGTTCTTCTTCGTCCTCACTGTCTCCACTTTCTTCCATCAAGTCAATTGAGTCAAAGCAACCAAAAGGCACTGTTCATCTACTTCAAGGTAGCAGTGAATAGAGTTTCAACAACTGTCAATGGCAACCTCCTTGAATCTGTTGCCCAACACAAAGCAATAGAACTGAGTAGTGAACGAAAAAGAACTTGCAATTGGCAGCAATGTCAATGAGTCCATCAATAGTGAAACCCTTACAAGACGATAGGACCAAAACACTAAAATTCTTAAACAAACGTGAGATTAGTTCCAACACCTCATCAGTCACCACCATGCGCTTCAACCTCAACTCCTCTAAGCATGGGTAAGCTTTGGCCATGGACGAGATCTAGGGGTACACATACCCTCTCCACCCCTCCAGCACAAGATTGAAATTAGCAAAATGAGGTTTCCCCTTGAGCGACACAGGTCGGACCTCCAGGAACTGCTTGATTAGTTGTAGAGGGATCTTGTCCCTTATCTCAATCTCTCTCCTTGTTGAATGGATCAACGTATGGTTTGATTTTTGTTATCCCGTTTAATATTTTCGTAGTTTCTAAAATTTCTTAAATTCGATTCTTGTTCGGGTTGGAGTTATCTTTTCTCTCCATTTGTCTGCATGTTTTTCTGTTTTCCTTTCTACATCTCTTATGAGTTTCAACTTTCAAGTTAATCTTGTTGTTGCTTTCTGGGTTTATTGTGTTTACCCTTTACCAATTTTGATTCGAAATTGGTTGTCTTGCTCTTGGTTTTCATAAAAAATGTGCAAATAGTAGATTTCAGCGGTCAATCACCTCAGTTTCAATACATTCTATTAGAAACACAATTGGTGATTTTGGGTATATAAATCAATCCTTTTGAGTTCTTTCTTCTCCTGAATTATTCATCATTTTCTATTAATCCAGGTGCATCGATTGCTTTGACTCAATCGACTCAATGGAATAGAGTGGGGACGAAGAAGAAGAAGAAGAAGAAGAAGAAGAAGAAGGGGCAGTGATGGGGAAGCAGTAAGAGGCGATTGGGGGAAGTATTTCACATTGTTCCCTTCTATTGCGATAGGAAGGGAAAGCAGGGGTAGTTTTGACATTTTGAAATATTTTATTGACTCCCTGACAATTAATTAGGGGCAATTTCATAATTTTATTGGCTTTCCGTCTGAATCAGTGACGGAAGGGAGGTTTTTGTCGAGATCTTTAAAGGTTTAAGGGAAGTTTTTGCTAAAGTAAAACTATAGGGGAGGTTTTTATGATTGTCAGAAATTTTAGGGGAGGTTTTTATATTTTACCTATTATATAATATTCTAATTTATAGAATATTATGTATATTTTTTGCTACTAATAATATTATATAATATATTATATGTTTTTATTATATATAATATTATGTACTAGGCTCAGGCTAGGCTGGGCTGAGCTTATTAGGTAAAGCCTAAGCTCAAGCCCGTGGGCTTAAAATTTATCCAAGCCCAATATAGAACAGGCTAGGCTGGGCCAGCCCATGAACATGTCTACTCCTTTGGAAGAAGCAAATTACTTTTCCAACATATAAGATATGCCCATTGCTAATAACGTGGTAACAACCACAAGGGTGTTGGTTGTACAAATTTTGTATTTTGTATGAGATGCATGCATCGGAAAACAAGAAAAATGTTTGGGTAATACAATGTTAAATTGCTTATTGTTGTTTATTACACGTAAATGTCACTAACACCATGTAAACTGTAATGCCAATAATTCAATAATTATTGAACCGTTGTTGACCTGGATGGTTGGACCTTTGGCCCGAAAATCATCCAAGCAACCGGTTCCGTTTCATCCTTAATCCATTCTTGGATCATAAATTGTTGATTTGGTCAGAGATGCTCACCTGGCGGTCAAACCATTGAGCCATTTGATGGTTTGTGTTTTTGTAGGATGAAAGGACATCAAGAGATGGGGAGAGACTGAGACTTAGATTGAGGTTAGATCCTAGAGAGAGAGAAAAGCAATATTGCAGATCCAAGAGAAATCAATTATCAGATTTAAGATCTTAGTTCTCAGATCTCATATTTGAGATCTCAGAGAGATCCGAAGTTGTCACCGCCATCACTGGTGAATGTCACATGCTCCTCCTCCTCTTCCTTTCCTCCTTGCTTTCTTTCCTTGTTTCTCAACCGACAATGTCTCTTTTTGAGTTTTTTCTTATAAAAGACTAAGGACAGTGAAATCCTGATTTTCCAATCTAATCAGACTGCATGAACCATTCAACCCGGATGGTCAAACCACTGACCCAGAAACTGGTGGCTAAAGCGTTTCCGTTTTTGAATTAGGTTTTAAAACTTTGAAAATCATTAAGGTGACAGAAGAGGCAAAGGGTGTGGTGGGTTCATATAGGGGTCAAGCTACAAGAATAAAGAAAAAAAAGGTTGTGGGAGCTCTAACTACAGTTAGATGATTCAAAACTCAAAAGAATAAAATAATCAACAGCAATCCCAGTTTCTAAGGCTTTTGCGAGAATAAAAGGAAGATTGTTTGGGGTAGGGCCTAACAAGATAAAATCAAAAGACCAATCAGAAGAAGACAAGAAGCCAACACTCAAAAAATAGAGAAGAGATAAAGATCTGGTGTCCCTTTTGGGGGGATGGGATTTTGTTTGGGTCCTTTGAGGGATGCCGGACAAGCTTTGGTTGTTTTTGGGTTGTGATGTATCTTGTGTTTGTTTGGATCTTGTCAGCTTCCCTTGGGTTTTCTCTTTGGTTTGTCTTTTATCAGGTGATTTCTTATCAATTTTTTTGTATCTTTTTTTTTTCTTTTAGATTATTTTTGGTTTAAAGGAAAAAGTAAAGAAAGGAAGGGAAAGGTAGAAAAACCTTTATAAATCTTGTATAGATTTTCCTTCTTTTCCCTTCCTTTCCCTATATTTTCCTTCAAACCAAACATAGTAATAAATTTTCTCTTTATCACCCAAAAAATTATCCTATTTGTCATTCTTACTAACATATTAGGAAGTCATTCTAATTTACAATTTTCTTCAAGGACAAAGTCTGGAGTGACATCTCCTGCAAGATTCAAAGAGAGTCTTCGCCGCACCCGTCAAATTGATGGTTCAGGTTATGATTTACTGTATTATTTGAATCATGGTTTTTAAAACTGACCCAGTGATCGAATTGGTCAGGGGTCTGGTTACTGGTTCGAACGATCGGTTCGTTCAGACAAAAAAAATAAAAAAAAATTGAA